GGGATCTATAGCATTTTATTATAGGATTTCTATAAGGAGCTATAATCAATTTAACAAGGGATCCACAAAGGGTACTTTTGGGGTTTAGGGGGTCTAGGGCGGGTTATAAAGGTTTAAGGCCGAGGGTGTAAGACCATTCTGTAGGCGGGTTCTGTATGAGTTCGAGTGTACATGTTTGAAGGTGGTGAATGGCTTTTTTGATTGCATGCCTTTTGTCGACTCGGGAGCAGTTTTTCTTCGTGATCAACTCGAATTCCTGGACCCTAAGCCCTAGTCCATCAGAACTCCCGAGACAGCACGCCCGAACACCATAGGAGCCCTATAAAGCCTGGAAACAAGTTCTTTAAAACGCCCTTTGAGCTGCCCCAGCCCGAGGCCAGACTGGTTCAGCCGCCAACTAATCCGCTTCTTGAGCCCCTCGGTTTGCCTCAATGGTTCAGGATTTATGCTTCATGGCTCGGTTATGTTTAGGGCAGTCTGGGTTTGGGACTTCCAAGGGTTTGAGTTTGGGGATTTCGGGATTTAGGGTTTAGGCTGGGTTTGAGGACTTGGGTCGAGGATCCAGGGTGCTGGCTTTAGGGAAAGGGATTTAGGTTTAGGGGTTTGGAGTTCAGGGGAAGCAGCAGTAGGGTTTCGGTAGATGCTGGCAAACCATGCGCAACCTTGATCACATCTCAACTCCTTACCCGAAGCCCCCAACCTTGAACTAAATCGACCCCCGGGAGCACTCCAAAAATCCTTGCATTAAGGCTCCTTGCTAAGATCGTGGTTGTTTAACTACGTCAGCGACTCTGCAGTCTTTGGAAAACCCACCTAAACCCTCAACCCTAAACCGAAGAAACAGCAAGGGCCTCGCTACCGCTCTGCTTTTCAAGTTCCTTTCTCGAAGTAACATCAAGTCCATAAGGTTCTATGAGGTTTAGGGGTTTAGGGCAGGGTCTAAAGTGGTGGGATGAAGGATCTTTCATAGAAGCGCTTATGTTGGGATGGTCCGAATCTTGCATAGAAGGGCTTATGTTGAGATCGACCCTACCTTCATCACACCTCTTGACCCCTTGGATATCCTCAAGGGTTCAACAGTTAGGTATGTGGGTTTAAGATCTTAGTTACGTAGGTTAGCTGCTGTAGACGGCATACAGCTCCACGGTTTGTGCTTTGTGGGCTCCTGGATCCTCCTCAGGATAGTTCTTTGGTGTTCGTTCTCTTGTGGACAGTTCTGAGTTTATGGTTCTCGTTGGTTGGGCGTTTACGGCTTGTCTCAAAGATGTTGCTGTAAGCACAAGGGTGGCAAAACCAAAGTTGTAGGCCTCTTGTCATGATTGATTTTGCGCATGCTTTCAGCACAGAGCGTAAGCAAGAGGACCGTCAGCTTGAGTTGTCTGGCCCATTGGGGGGCATGGATCTTCTTCAGTTGCAGGTTGAATTGTACTTGGAGCAAGTGGCATTCATATTTGTTGGCCCCTATATCCAGCTTTGTAAACTCCTCTAAACCCTATGGTCGTCGTTAAAGCCCAGATTCTAGACCCCAAAACCCAGGTCAGCCGCAGCATGCCGCCTTCATCGAGAGCTTGGACCTGCAGTTCCTGGTTGAAATTCTTCGAACATCTAGAGTTCGGGTACACAGGGTTTGTGGGGCTTTCGGGGTTTGAAGGGCATTAGGGTGTTTTGGAATGGCAAGGCGGCTTACCGCCTCACCCATAGGCTTCCCACTGCCAAAGTAAGGAGTATGTGTATATTGGGAGTCTCCATGAATCCCTTAGTACAGCTGGCACAGTCATGCTTTAGGGTTTGAAGTTGTTTGGCGGTTTCAGTGTGTCTTCTGCTACAGGATGAAAGGCTCCCTCAGATTCTAAATGAAGTGCCCATTCAGATATTCAGACATTTTCGGGCTCAAGGGCTTCGGACTGTGTGGGTCGTTTCGCTTGGGTTTGCTTGGTGTAAGGTGTTGCATGGTTCATGCTTTGGGACGTTGATGACGTTGAGACTCTCACATCTCAAAGCACAGCTCCCTAAGATAATACACCCTACAAACCTTTCCGAACCTTTACAGAAACCTGAAAAACCATGTTCAGCACCAAGCAACAACGACAAAGTCTAAAGCCCGAAAACCATATGTATCAACGCACCTCAAAACCACCATCAACAGCAGAAGAAACAGCAACGCTGCAGAAACAAACACAGCAGTAACAATGAACAACACGGCACAACCAGATGACAAACATACAAAAACCTGTAAGCCCAAGCCGTAAACCCCAAACCCTAAACCCCGAAACCCTAAACCCCTAAAGCCCTAAACCATCCTGAACCTCTACACCAATCCTAAACCCCTAAACCGTCCTAGGTTTGCCCCAATCGCGGCCTTGGAGTCGCCGGAGCTTCATCTGGCCCTGAGGCTTGGGACCTATCAGTCTTCTCAGGGTTCCGTTAGGTTTAGAATTACTTAGAGCATCATGGGACTTAGTAACTAGGTTTATCATTCAAGGCAGGGGTTCGTGTGTCAGGGTTGAGAATTATGGTTGGGCTCCATTGTTGTTTTGATTGTTGGTATTGTCTTAGGACCGCCAACAACGCTTTCCTGGACTTCGGGGACTCCACAAGGATCCGACCCAAGCACATCCTGGCTGGATTGTTCTTCGTGCAACCGAGAAACAGGCGCTGAGTCCTAGGATCTGGGTCCCACATGACGTTCCGCAGAACTGGGGGTACCAGCAATGCCGCACTATCGCGACACAACTGGGTGACGAACCGATTTCGGTTCTGGGGCCACTACGATATTCCGGTCTTGCACCGGCGATTCGGGCCCTCAGTCCTCCCCCATACCCACTATATACTATATACTATATGCTGTATACTATATACTATATACTAGTTATAGTATATAGCATATAGTATAGAGTACTATATACTATATACTGTATACTATATACTATATACTATATACTATATACTATATACTATATACTATGGGAGGGCTTTGAGAACGCCAAGCCGCATCTCCGCCAGCCTAGTTGGGCCTACGAAGCAGGCAACTCGTGCCGCAGCGGCGGTGGCAACACCCGCAGGCGTATGTATAGCATATAGTATAGAGTATAGAGTATATAGTATGTCGTATGTAGTATCTAATACACAAATGAACAAAACGAAAATTGCCTGCGAGGAGCGGGCAAGGGACTTCGCCTTGGCGGGCGCCTTTCGAGGAGACCAACCGACATAAAAGTCTCGAATCCTCAACAATAACCCCGAATCGGTAAGGGGCAGGAAGCAAAAGACTTTCAGACTACTGCCATATTCCCACCAGCCATGGCCAATGGAAGCATCCCCTGCAGCACTACTATATGCTATACACTATATACTGTATATTAGATACTATATACTATATACTATATACTATACACTATATACTATATACTTTGTTACTATTTACTATATACTATATACTGTATACTATAGATATTATATATTATATACTATATACGATCTACTATCTACTATCTACTATCTACTATATACTATATACTTCTTTTCTATATACTATACATTATACACTATATACTATATACTATATCCGATGGAATCGAGTCTTGTGGAAGTCTTCTAGCAGCGAAATGAACTGCCGGCACCCTGCAGAACGCAGGGGTTTCAAATGGGAACCATGGACCAACGCACCGTTCCAGCTGCCCTGCAACAGCCGGCTATATACTATATACTATATACTATAAACTATGTACTATATACTATATGCTATACACTATATACTGTATATTAGATACTATATACTACATTCTATATACTATATACTATATACTATATACTATATACTATATACTATATACTATATACTATATACTATATACTATATACTATATACATTATATATATTATATACTATATACTATCTACTATCTACTATCTACTATCTACTATCTACTATCTACCCAGGCTGGGTACCCAAACCTAAACCCTAAACCCAGCACTCCAGGCCCAGGCTCCAGGCCGCGGCTTGTTGCTGGCAGGGCCGAGCCAGTTGAGAGCAGATTCACTTTGAGCTTCTGCTTGATCCTTCGTTGCCTCCAGGCCCACCAGAACCCAAATCCAGGCCCCAGGCCCCAAATCCAGGCTCCAGACCCCAAATCTCAAATCCAGGCCCAGTCCGAAGCCAAAGTTCCTGAACCTATTCAGAGCAAGGAGCACATCGCGGCCGGCGAGGACGGTTCCGCTGCTTCCGCGTTGAGCAACTCCTTTTGGTTCATGGTGAGCCGTGGCACTCCATGGCCACCTTGCAAAGACGATGCGCCACGCCATCCGCAACATGATGACACGGCTGCCCTCCCCCATACCCACTATATAGTTGAAAACCCTTAACCCCGAAGCCAAAGTTCCTGAACCCAGGCCGAATGGGCAGATCATGTTCGATCACCTCACTGGAGAGATCCAGATGAAGCGGAGCCCGTTGGGTCGTCAACCACCCAACAGCTTTCAGAGCTTGACCCTTGTTTATGCGGTCAGCCAGAGCTGGGAGTGCATCGATGCCAACTCTCCCGTTTCCTTCAGGGATGGAGTAGCTAGGGCTATACTCAAGAACACACAACTGCTTGCTAGTTATACTTTATACTTTATACTGTATACTGTATACTATATACTATATACTATATACTATATATACTATATATACTATATACTATATACTATATACTATATACTATATACTGTATACTATATACTATATACTATATACTATATACTATATACTAGATACTATACGCCCAATATACCCACTGGTGCACCTGGCCTAAACAATGCACTCCGAGGCCCAGGCTTGCGAGCCGGGCAAGCATGTTTGACTAGGTCTCATGAACCTTTAAGTACGGCCTTACGGCGACCAGTTCTGGGATGAGAAGTTAATAGCATGCCACCAACCCCGGGCGGTCAAGAAACCTCAAGGAAGCGGCATCGTCACTACAGCGTGTCCTTGCGATGGCTGAACAAGTTTACCGAGCTGAATGCTCTGGAGGCGAATCGGCGAACCCAGAGAGCCCAATACCCCCTAAACTAAGGAATATACCTTAAATCATCAGGGGCTTCATAATTTGATTTAAGCTATATTTTCCTGCATTAAGGGGTATTGGCTCTCCGGGAAGAGGGGCCTTAAGAAGTAGAGTAATATGGTTGCCTAAATCATTACCAACACTGTTTTAGGGGCTTTCCTTAATATAAATGTAAATATAATGTGCCCCAAAATCCTGTTCTAATTATCAAGGTTCCTATATTAGGGCTACTTGAACGGTTCCTTTTAAGAACGCCCCGAAGCCTAAGCCCTAAACCCTGAATTCTAGCCCAGCAAAACAAACCCCGAATCCTGGAAAAGAGCTCAAATCACGGAAGCAGCCCTGTACCGTACAAGCGGCAGTTACGTGCATCCTTCCGCCAGCTCCTGCCCTCACCGGGACTCTTGAGACCCCACAAAATTGCTCAAACGACATATTATACAATCTATGGTACATATTAATACACAGACCCTTATTGATACTCCGCCTTGCCCTAAGGAGTATGCTGCAGATACTGAGGCCATGGAAAGAAAAAGAGGTTTGGTAATCAGGGGTGTCCATTACACCTGTGGCTTTCGTGATTTCTATTTTGGTATTGTGTGTTGCTTACATAAAGAACCCCCGCCCACAGCCTACCCTTTCCCTGTGCATGGCCCTGTTGTTTCGCCTGTCGCGCCCCATCACAGACCCTGTCATAGGCCCTGTCCACCCCTGTCACAGGCCCTGTGATAGGGTGTGTCCACCCCTGTCACAGGCCCTGTCCGTAGAGCCTGGACCCCCTGTCACAGACCCTGTTCGTAGGCCCGTCCACCCCTATCACACGCCCTGTCACAGGCCCTGTCCACCCCTGTCATAGGCCCTGTCCGTAGGCCTTGTCCACCCCTGTCATAGGCCCTGTCCGTAGGCCTTGTCCACCCCTGTCACAGGGCCCGGCTGTCACAGGCCCTGTGTAGACCCTGTCCACCCCCTGCACAGGCCCTGTCCACAGGCTCCGCCCCCGCCCCCTCCACAGACCGTGTTTCTGTGCTTTACCATCCTAATACGTCTGGCTTTCGCTTTCAGAAGACATATTTCATGTATTTATATGTTTTTCCACTTTTGACCTCCTGAAGCGTTTTCGTGTGGCTTTCTCCTGTATGTGTGATGGAAAGGACGTCTGTATGCATGCCTTCGCGGCATAAAAAGCGGTGAGTTTGCAGTCTAAACACAGGGGGGGGTTGGGGGGGCGCAGCCCCCCCCATTTGCACACGTTTCCACAAAATAGACTTTTGTTTTTCTGTGCTTTACCCTCTTATACGTGTGACTTTCGCTTTCAAAAGACATTCCATGTATGATTATTCTCATAAAACCTTCCCACAAAATAAGCTTGCGTTTTTCTGTGCTTTACCATCCTAATACGTCTGGGTTTTGCTTTCAGAAGACATTTCATGTATGATTATCTTACTTTTTTCGCTTTTAACCCCCTGAAGCGTTTTCGTGGGGTTGTCTCCTTTATGTGTGATGGAAAGGACGTTTGTATTCATGTTGTTGCGGGATGAGAGCGGGGAGTTTGCAGTCCAAAAACAGCGGGGGCGTTGGGGAGGCGCAGCCCCGCCCGTTTGAAAACATCTTAATACGTGTGGCTTTCGCGTTCAGAAGACATTTCATGTATGATGTTCTTGTTTTTCACTTTTACGCCCCTAAAGTGAGGGTGTCAGAGCGCACCCCCTCCAATCTGCACACGTTTCCACAAAATAAACTTGCTGCTTCTCCGTGCTGTACCCCCTAATATGTCTGGCTTTCGATTTCACAAAACATCTCATTTATAACTTTTAGCCCCCCATGCATGCCTTCGCGGCATAAAAAGCGGTGAGTTTGCAGTCTAAACACAGCGGGGGGTAATAGTAATAATAATAGTAATAGTAGGTCACACCCCCCCCCCATGATCCACCCCAGCCTTCTCCTCAACTACTCCTGTACTGTCCTCTGGTACAAGATGCGTATTGCTAAAGTCAGAATCTATCGGTATTTACGCTGTTTTATGCAGTTCATGTACATGTACAGATGCGGCTTTTCGCTTTTTATATCATATACAAACAAGCCAAAACCGAAACCAGATCCTGGTTCTGGATTCTGGTTCTGCTGCCGCGCTCTTGTCCACTGCTTCGTATCAGCTCTTGCTGTTCAAGTCAAAACTTGGCCTTCCTATTTTGGAGTTTGTCGAACTACTTACGATGTACAGTTTGAATAGACACAGCTGCTCTTCTCTTCATAACATAAGCTGTAAGGACAACTCCTTCAGTGAAAGCAAACATGCCAGTGGTATGTTTGGCTTACTAGCAACATTGTAACCACACTAAACAGAGGTGTTGCCCATCAGACATGGAAAGGAATCCCCGTGTATCTTCATGCTTCAAGGGAACCTCGAACAACATCATATCTTCAAAATTTCAACCGACAAGGGAAGCATGGTTGTTCTTGTTCAGGTGGTGTTATCAATAGAAATCTTGTTTCATCACAAAAAAACACAATAAGCCACCTTAGTCCCTTATCAGTCGCTGGAACTCAGTGGCTGGAACTCAACGAGCTCTTGCAGTATACCAATACCACAAAATCGGAGTGATTAGGGAAAGACATGGTCTCCCTCCACCAAACTCCAAATACATTCGGTCACAAGCATAATATGTCGAGCTTCTTACGCTTTATACTTCGTGGGAATTAAGACAAGCATGTATCTGGAAAGCATTCGTTATTGAACACATTTGTTTTTCTTTTTAACAGATGCAAGACGATCCTGGCTCAGAACACATAATCGGGCTCCGTTGCACCGCGCTACTCGCAAGAGTTATATAGCTCCTGCCATCTTTGAATACAGCATGAAACAGCTCCAGACCTCTCCTCATAGCCTCCAAGAAATGGTGGAAAAACATATTTTCTCACTATGCTTTAAGGAAAACAATCAAACACTGGACTTACTTCTTGAGCAAGGTTGACCTTGACTCGGTTATGATTTTGCTCCACGAGAGAAGAGTTAGTACCGCCAGTAATCGAAGCAATTGAAAGCTCATTTACCAGGTTCCCCAGTGTCGCCTGAATGGCACCTTTTATGTAATGATATGAAATATCGGAGCTTATCAGCTTCTTCAGTTTGTGAGGTAATATAGAATACAAGGAATACTTCTTCTTTGTTCAAGCTACGGGCAAGAGTTTAAGAACTCGACAGCATCTAAACATGATGTACAGTTCAACGAACATGTGCATTCGCAAAAAAACGTTCTAAAGCATCCACAAACACAAGCAGGTTTCAATATTCTAAAGTACAGCTGTTCTTCTATTTTTTACATTGAGCAAAGGTGATCTTAACAACAGCTATGACTTTGTTCGATGAAAGAAGCAAGAGCACACTTGAGAACGGAAGCAATTGAAGGCTCATGTATGAGCACATGGTACGGCTGTTTTTCTATGACTTTTGCATTTCAGGTTTCAGGAATCTTGGAGATTCGAGCCTGGCAGTGTTTTCGCATCCGAGGTTGCCAAAACACCGCCAGGCACCAATTTCCCCAAACTTTGTGAGGCTGGAAGTGCCAAAACCTCGCCAGGCACCAATTTCCCTAAAATCCCCGAAATCCTGGCATCTATGGAGGCCGTCAGAGTTCAGCTGTATGAATTTTGGGGAAATTGGTGCCTGGCGGTGTTTTCGCATCCGAGGTTGCCAAAACGCCGCCAGGCACCAATTTCCCCAAAGTTTGTGAGGCTGGAAGTGCCAAAACCTCGCTATGCTCCAATTTCCCCAAAATCCCCCAAATCCCGGCATCTATGAGGCGTGTCGGGCCATAGTTGCTCAGAGTTTGGGATTTTTGGGGAAATTGGTGCCTGTCGATGTTTTCGCACTTCCGCCTTTGCAAACTTTGGCATGCCCTGCCCGATTCGACCCGATCGACACCGATCCATCCGACCCGATTTGCAGCGATTCGATGCGATTTGCCGTTCGAGGGACGGAACCTGGCCGCCAGGGGTCTCTGCACAAAGGCTTAACCGCCAGCCCAACTTGAGCTTGGCACTGAAGCAGCCAAGAAACTCATTTGAGAGATATGCAATGTGCACAGGCATGGCAGACCTAGTGAGCCTTCAGTTCCCCATGGCAGACGGGTGGGAGGCAAAAACGAATTAGTGGCTGCCACTAATTCGACTTTGGTTTTGTGTCGGGTGGGTGGGAGCAGGGAGCACAGGGCAGGGGCAGGGCAGGGTGGGGCAGGGTGGCAAGACAGGTTGGGGCAAAAACGAGTTAGTGGCTGCCACTAACTCGATTTCGGTTTTGGGTCGGGTTGGGGCAGGGTGGGCAAGGACGGGGGTTGGGTCGGGTTGGGGCAGGGGAGCAGGGAGCGCAGGGCAGGGGGGCAGGCAGGGTGGGGAGGGGGCAGGGCAGGGTGGGGCAGGGTGGGGCAGGGTGGGAGGCAAAACCGAATTGTGGCTGCCACAATTCGATTTGGTGGATGGGGTAGGGTTGGGGTCGGGTGGGGAAGGGGAGGGAGGGCAGGAATCGAGCCAACACACCTAACAAGGTGTGTCTACAAAGCGCAATCTGTACCACTCAGCTATGGAGGTCTTGAATTCGAAGCAGCCCTCACCCTGCTCTGCCCCTCCCACCCTGCCCCCCACCCTCCCACCCAGGCCCCGGCCCGCCCTGTACCCTGCCCCTGCCCTGCGCTCCCTGCTCCCACCCTGCTCCCACCCTCCCCCGACCCGACCCACCTCACACAAAACCAAATTATCGAGTTAGTGGCAGCCACTAACTCGTTTTTGCCTCCCACTCCACCCTGCCCCTGCCCTGCCCCACAACCTCCCACCCTGGTTTGCCTGCTCTGTTCCAAAGCCTTGCGCCCTGCCCAAAAACCAATCGAGTTAGTGGCAGCCACTAACTCGTTTTTGTTTCCCTGCCTCCGCCCTGCCTTGTCCAGCCTGCCCAAAACCAAAATCGACTTAGTGGCAGCCACTAATTCGTGTTTGCCAGCCACTAACTCGTTTTTGCCTCCCAAACTTGCCCGAGCCAACCGACCGTGGACCTTGACCGAATCTCTGCATCCTTCATCCACGACGTCGTGGCTGCGGTCGCGGCAGCTCCAGCGATGTGGCCCTAGATTTAGTTAGCGAAGCGCACAAGCGCCTGGCTCTATAGGCACAGCTCCATGGTTCAACTCCGACGGCGGTCCGATCGATTCGATTCGATTTCCGACCCGATTCCCGATCTTGTTGCGAGGTTGGTTGTCCATGTTTGGGGAAATTGGTGCCTGGCAGTGTTTTCGCATCCGAGGTTGCCAAAACACCTCCAGGCACCAATTTCCCCAAAGTTTGTGACGCTGGAAGTGCCAAAACCTCGCTATGCTCCAATTTCCCCAAAATCCCCCAAATCCCGGCATCTATGAGGCGTGCCGGGCCATAGTTGCCCAGAGTTTGGGGATTTTGGGGAAATTGGTGCCTGTCGATGTTTTCGCACTTCCAGCTTTGCAAACTTTGGGGAAATTGGTGCCTGGCAGTGTTTTCGCATCCGAGGCTGCCCACCTCCCATGATCCACTGTTTGCAAGAAGCAGGTTCGGGTGGATCATGGGGGGGGGGGGGGGGGGGGCGTGAGCTAATAGTAATAGTAATAGTAATAGTAATAGTAATAGTAATAGTAATAGTAATAGTAATAGTAATAGTAATAGTAGTAGTAATAGTAATAGTAATAGTAATAGTAATAGTAATAGTAATAGTAATAGTAATAGTTATAGTTATAATTATAATAGTAATAGTAATAGTAATAGTAATAGCAATAGTAATAGTAATAGTAATAGTAATAGTAATAGTAATAGTAATAGTAATAGTAATAGTAATAGTAAGAGTAAGAGTAAGAGTAAGAGTAAGAGTAAGAGTAAGAGTAATAGTAATAGCAATAGTAATAGTAATAGTAACGTTTTTCTGTGCTTTACCATCCTAATATGTCTGGGTTTTGCTTTCAGAAGACATTTCATGTATGACTATCCTTCTTTTTTCGCTTTTAACACCTTGAAGCGGTTTCGTGGGGTTGTCTCCTTTATGTGTGATGGAAAGGACGTTTGTATTCATGTTGTTCCGGGATAAGAGCGGGGAGTTTGCAGTCCAAAAACAGCGGGGGCGTTGGGGAGGCGCAGCCCCGCCCGTTTGAAAACGTCTTGATACGTGTGGCTTTCGCGTTCCGAAGACATTTCATGTATATGTTCTTGTTTTTTTTGATTTGGGTCCCCAAGTTTCGGAAATTCCCATTTGCAGCATTTTTTAATTTTGCACTTCGCAATCAAGAGGTGCGAAGGCAAAGCCAAAGCATATCTTTCCGTTCTGAAATCAGAAACTTGGCTTGATTTGTTTATTGGGCAGGCTCCAACACGAGCCCAGCCAAGTTCACCCCCAACGCCTTAAGCTAGGAACCATAGAAGCTCCCTACCTAACCTACACTTGTTGGTGGGATGTCCCCACTATCATTGGCTTGCTTTAGCTGGGGATTATGAATTATCACAACCTTACTTCTGTTTTCGTTGGGGTCCCTATAACAAATGCTTAAACCCCAAAACTTTAAACCCTAAAACCTCTATAAGAAAATCCCTATATCCCAACACCTTAAATGCTTAAATCCCTGAGCCCAGGCAGCCCCTGCGGAGCCCGCTGCGCCGGCAGAGCCGGAAGAGCCCAAGGATAGCCCAGCAGAGAGTTTTGTTTCGTTCGATCGCTCAAGACCCCTTCATGAAGGTTTTTCAAGCGGTGTTTGGGTGACGGAGAGAAGCCAAAACCGCTTCCTTTTGATTGTTTCGGGTGTAGCTAGCAGCTGTCATAGACTTTTGACGAGTCTTGTTACCCCCAGAGTGACGAACCCTTAAGGTTCCTAGGCTTCCTTTTAAGGGGGTCCATAAGGGTTACTATAAACGGATCCCCTTCCACAATGGTTTGGGGTGCAGGGCCCAGGATGGGGAGCCCGAAACCCCAGACCGAGCTTGGCCTAAACCCCAAAAACCTCGAAACCCAAAATGCAGGAGCTTGACGGCAACGCAGCCGACATCACAGGTGCCGATGATTTCCGGCCCTGTTTTAAACTGAAAAAGTTCCTTTTAAGTGGTTGTGTTTAGTTTTGTTTTGATGGTTTCAGGTGGGTCAGGTTTAGATTTACAAGTTTGTTATTGGGACCGTTGAAACCCGAAGGATCTAAAATCCCAAAGCCCCAAATCGTAGAGCCCTAACCGCTTCGTCTTTCGCGAGTTGCCCCCATTCGAAGCGCAGCGTTCCGCGTGTATGTGTTCCATGCGTGGGGTCCTGGGGTGATACTAGCGGTTTGCCGTTCAGCGCTCAGGGCTTTGGGTCTAACACGATGCGTCCGCAAGACCCAATACCTACGGATGCCACAATGCGTTTACCCTGTCTTGCCCTTTGCCTGCGCATTATCATCGCTCCTGACAGTTCTGAAGGAAAGTAAACTCTACCTTACTCGAACATAGCAGATGTACACCATATTTTGTGGCAGAGTCCCCTTAAACTTTATAATCACTGAGCCTTTTAATAGGATTCTTGACAAGCAACGGGTTCTAGTAGGTTGGTGCCATGTCGGGCAGTCTCGGAGGTCAGCAGCCTCAAGATACTAGGTGAGACTCTACAAGAGGGCTCCAGGAGTTTCACTTCTACAAGAGGGCTCCAGGAGGCTTCCGTTTCACCTCTACAATTCTACAAGAGGGCTCCAGGAGGCTTCCGTTTCACCTCTACAAGAGGGCTCCAGGAGGCTTCCGTTTCACCTCTACAAGAGGGCTCCAGGAGGCTTCCGTTTCACCTCTACAAGAGGGCTCCAGGAGGCTTCCGTTTCACCTCTACAAAAGGGCTCCAGGAGGCTTCCGTTTCACCTCTACAAGAGGGCTCCAGGAGGCTTCCGTTTCACCTCTACAAGAGGGCTCCAGGAGGCTTCTGGTTTGGCTTTGTTGTCCAGGGTTTACCTTAACCCCAAATTTCCGACCTTTTTAGGAACTTACATAAAGAAATCTTGGTTGGGGGGGGGGCCCTGAAAAGCTAGGTTCCTTAGGGTCCAGGGTTCCGAGTTTAGGCTTCCCTTTAAAGAGCCTTTTACTACTATTTGCTTAAGAAACCACCAAAAAAATAAAAATAATAATCCCTATATTACCCCCACAAGGAATATGTATATATATATATATATATATATATACATATATATATATATATATATATTAATGTTTTGGTGGTTCTTAAGCAAATAGTAGTTTAAGAAGCCTTACTAATTCCCATGATCCTTTAAGTAGATCCCTGAACTTCGTCAGGGATTCGAGTTTAGGCTTCAGGCTTTGAGGGTAGACGGCAGGTCGACCGAGGCTCGTCCCTAAGCCTAGTCCTTGCTCCGAGTAGGTAGCCTTTAACCTTTTTTTGGGTACATAGTATGGCCCCTATATAAACCCTATATAACCAAAAAGGACACCCGACAAGTAGGTAATGGCACTATAACTACTCTGAGAGTAAGTAGCCGTTAGCATTGTACTATAAAGCCTAAACTATAGCTCCCCAAGGGGTATTGGACAGCAAAGACAACGATCCTGTGTGCCACAGGGTAGGTAACCTTTGGCTGTTGTTGACGCATTTTGCCGAAGAACAGAGAAAGTGAACCTTAGCCTTAATCCTAGCAGGGGGTTCGGGACTATGACTATACTGCATCATACACCGAAACCTATTCGATTAAGGTCGCTGTATGATATCCATTGCAGACTTGCAGAGAACCTTAAACCCTAAACCGTGCACTTGACAGGTGGGTTTCAATGCAGAGGACACCACGCTGAATGGGCTGCCCTCCTCGAGAAGCTCGACTGAAACGTTCTTAATATGCTGTTTTGCGGCTCCTTGTTATAGTCTTAGTAGCTGAGTGGATACACGTAACACTTGTTGGGATACTGTGACATATCTTACCCACTATAAAACTCAAAGTGTACACATTTTGGGGCTTATGAACTCAGCAACTAAGTAAGTATTCTGTAAAGGACTCAAGACCCCTGTTCCAATTGTTAAGGCCCCTATAGCCATATATTCTCGGAACCCTATAGATCCCTTGTGGTAACCCTTATAGACCCCTATAAAGGAACCCGATTCTAATGTTTACCTAAACCCCAAACCCCTAAACCCTATAAGCCCTAAACCCCTAAACCCTAAACTCCTAAACCACTAAACCCTAAACCCCCAGACCGTAAACCCCTAAATCCTAAACCCCCTAAGCCCTAAACCCCCTAAGCCCTAAACCCCTAAACCCTGAACCCCCGAAGCCCTAGACCCCTAAACCTTAAACCCCCTAAGCCCTAAACCGCTAACCCCTAAACCCCTAAACCCCTAAACCCTAAACCCCAGGCCCATAAGCCTGGGCTTGTTCCGCCCTTCCGACTTTGCAGCCTCAACGGTTGAGCCCTATCCCTAAGGGTCCATGTACCTTAAAGGAACCCCTTAGGGGTTCCTTTAAGGGTTGCTATAAGGTTTCTCTAAGGGCTCTACAGGGTTTCGGGTTTGAGCGTCCATGTACCTAAATAGTATCTACTTTGGCCCCACAGTACCTATATAGGGGCTACTTTAAGGCCAAAGTACATACTATTTCGGTACATGGACCCTTAGGGTATGCCTTCACCTTTCTGGGCTTGCGCTTACCCAAGCCACAATTCTACAGAACTTAGCTGCAAACTCGCAACCCGAAGGAGCCTGCACCCCAAATGCGCACATGCTCAACCTTCGATGCACTTGTGCAGTTCTGTTCCTGTTGATCCCACTACTCCTTCAATTTAAAGGAAAAGACCGGAAACCCTTACAGGGCTTACTCATCTGGCTGGTTTAGAATGTGCCTTAAAATGGCATACGGGCACCCCACGCATCGAACAAGTAGGTGTGGGTAGATTTAGGGGTAGCCACATCACGAAGGCCACCCGAAAAGGGGTCAGGGTTTAAGGCAGCGGAACACGACTGCTGCATGCCCGTTCTGTAAAGCGCAACCCTCATGGAATCCTAACCCCTGTTATAAGTCCGCCTCTTTGTCCAAGGTGGGAACTCACTCATGCTGCTCACTGACAACGGCATGCAGCCACCCAGCTGCATATAGACACATGTAGATATGAGTGTATATATATATCTACATATGTATAACTGCATATGTATATATAGATATATACACACACATGTACATATAATTGCATACGTATATACATATATATATGTATGTATATGTATATATATATATATGTGTATATATATATATAGGGCCACACGACAAATCCCTGCCCTAAGCCCTGGACCCTTGGGCCCATATAAGCCACCATGGACCATGGAACCCAAGACCTCGCCCTTCGCCCCCCGCCCCCCCCAGGATCTACAAGTTTGTATATTACGGAACCCTTCACTGCTTTAGGGTTCCATAATGTACATACGTCTACCAACACTAGTATTCGGATCTGATTCCGGCCCGCCGCATCGAGTAGGCTTTCCGATTGTTCAGCGCTTGGTGGCTCTAGGGGACCTCGTGGAAGAAGGGCGCATGTCACCGTGGTGGTGAGGCGAGAATGCCCAGAAATCAAGGCGGGTTGGTGTGCCGGTGATCAAGTAAGCTCACAATCTTGAACTACAAGTTTTCACAACCCTGACAATGACAAATTTGCCGATACACACGGTAGGGTCGACCTGAACCCACAACCCAAGGCCCGTTGAGGTTGAAGGTCTCATAACCCCCCCCCTCCAAAATAAAAACAAGTATCCAATTATTGAATGCAGTTATACATTAAAACAGATGATCTAGCCAGATTTCATGTACCCTCTTTTGACTTTAAGCATGTTGCTAGGGTTCGGTGGTTTAGCGTTTCCAAAGGGCTCCGATGGCCTGGCTTCAAAAGGTTGAGGATTTACTTAGAGCCCCTTTTTTAGGATACCTAGCTTCATGGTTTGGATCTGTTGTCTAGAAAGTAGATACCCTAAAAAGGGGTAGGATATGAGCCTGCAGGTAGGGTGTAGAATGTGAGGGTTTCTAGGGTTTACCTTTGTTTAGGGTGTTTAAAGCCGGTGCTCTTCTTCCGGCTATCAGGGAAGGATTCCTTTCGCACGTCTGTTGAGGCCTTAGACCACAAACCAGGGTTGTTCTTTTAAAGGTCCGGCAATCAGGAACGGGCAAGGGTATACGAGTCCTCTTTTATTTGCCTCTCAATGACAGCTCGAGTTTGAGGGTGTTCGGAAAGTTTAGCATTTTGGGGTGCGTCGCGCGCGCAGAGTATCATCTCCCAGAAAGTTGGAACATGCATGGATAACTTATATTCGTGGAGGAGTTCCTGTGCGTCACCTTAAGTGCAGGGTCAGATCGGTCAGGCTGCAATGCAGTGTAGCGATTGCGGTTTCGGGGTTCTACGAACCCATTCAGAAAAACCCTGAGCTGAGCCTCAACATGAGTGTCCGGCTGAAAGACCACTGGTTTATGAACATTCCCAGGTACCTCCTAGCAGGAGCTCGTGCCAATGTTGGAGTGAAGGCACCTCGGGCGTACCTTGAACGATAGCTGCCGAATCTTACACGTAAATTCAGGGTGCTCATGGCCTAGTACAGAGATAGAGTGAAAAGTGACAACTTTCATAACTCCACCGGTCTCCGAGTGCGTTCTAGATAGAGGAGCGAAAAGTGGCCAGAGTAGTTGTAGTTCTATCATAGTGGTGCACGGAAAGTATCATGGGTAACTAGCTACGCTGAACATCCAAGTAAGCTTCATTGGCTTAGGATTGAAGGGGTTTTGGGCATGGGGATTTAGGTTGACGATGTGTGCCCCCCCCCCCTTTATCCAAAAAAACAACTCATTCACTTTGTAGCCTCTGGGACCTGAAGCCCGGTAAAGATCTAAAACAATCTAAAACTTGGAACCCTCAACATTGACGACCATTGAACCCCAAACCCTACCTAAACCAAGGGGCCTGGTTGGTCCCCGTTACTATCCAGGTAAGGAGCACGTCATTTCAGTTTGGCAAGCAGCGCAACAGGGAAACCGCTGAAGCGAACGGGACACTCAGGTACAAGTAGATAGCACAGGAGACCGTCCTGATCCTGCTCTGTTGGCATCACACACAGGCGACAAGGCAATGCGTCTTGTTTTGGGTCTTTGGAGGTGGCCAACCAAACTTGTTGCCGTCGCCCGAGCTGAGCGGAGCTGATGTTTGTGCAGCCAGTAAGCCTCGAAGCCCAGAATTTCGCCAACATGAGCCTAGTTTGAGGGCTTCTTGCGGGCTCCCGGCCTTCCCAAAGAGGACGGCTCCACTCACATCTCGGCGGAGGAGTCGGCGGAGGGGCTTTGGGAAATTTGTGGGTTTGTGGTTCAATGTGGAATACGGCTCAAAGAGACTGGGAGACGCCACATCTGCTTCTTCATCCATGAGCTTTGCAGGGCTTTACAGAAACAGGTAGAGCCCGCATACAGGGTTGGAGGATCCTTCAAGGTCTGTTGCATCCCGCTTCTCCCTCCATCCAAACACTCCACTTCAATCTGTGCTTTCCAATTTCCAAGTCCAGAAGCCCCAAAGCTACCGAACTCCAAGTCTCCAAGTCACGAGGCCCGAAAAGTTATGGTTTCAAAAGCCCGTAGCTTCGAAGCACAAATCGTGAAGCTGCCTAAGCTTTAAACCCTGAAGCTTGCAGCCTAAATCTGGCACCCTTCTTCTTATGACATTTCCTGAAACTCACCCTACACCCTCAGCCCGCAGCCAGAAATTCGGGCAGACAGCACAACTGAGGCTTCCCTAAACCCTAAACCCCTAAACCCAAAGCCCTAAACCCCTAAACTCTAAACCCTAAAGCCCTTAAACCGGCTAAGGCGCCAGGGCCTGAACCTGCATCTCGCGAGGAGACACTCCCGGGTGCAATGCCCGAGGTAGTTCCTGCCGCAGCATTGAATCCAGCGCATCGCCCCACGACAGTGCCCCCCAAGTCTGCCGCAGTGTGTCGGCCGAAACTGGGCACGATCATACGGCTTCCTTACTATGGTAACTTAACTTCAGCCCCTCAACCTGGACCTAGACCCTAAGCTTAAAAAGCAAAACCTAAAGCAACCCAGGAAAGCAACCGAAACACAACCCAGGAAAGCGAGCTCTGAGGAGGATCACCAGATGCAGATGCAGAAGTTCCCTACCAGTGCTAAGGCCGGGTTCCTTTGTAATTCTTCTATTTAGGTAACTCTAATTATTAGGGTTTAGGGTTTCGTACTACCATATTTAGGTAGTTCTCCCATTCAGGGTTTATGGGTTTAAGGATTATCCTACTTCGGGCTTTTGGGTTTAGACTTTCTTACTATGAAACGGATGATTGAGTGAAAGCTGCCGTGGCTCTGCTTCTTTTGTGGTTCAGAATTCCCAAAATCCCACGAATAAGGCATAGGCTGGCGAGCCTTCTGTTCGCCTGTAATGGGATGTGTGGAACTACAGATACTTCCGTAAACCCTAATTCTTAAACTTAACCCTACCATAGTATATTATTCACCATAGGTCCTTGTTCTATAGGGGGTAGTCAGGGATCTGTAAGATTCTCTGAAGGTTAAGGGCTTTGAGGGTAGGTTTAGGAGTTAAGCTTTATTTCTGGTTTCAGTGGTTGCGGGTGCCTGAAGAATAACCAATACTGTTTGGGGGGTTCCTTATTCTAACTATCGTTTGCTATACCCCAGAACCCTATTCTAATTGCCCTAGACCCTAAACCCTAGACCCTAAACCCTAAACCCTAAACCCTAAACCCCAAAACCCTAAACCCCAAAACCCTAAACCCCAAAACCCTAAACCCCAAAACCCTAAACCCCAAAACCCTGAACCCCTAAACCCTAAACCCTAAACCCCAAAACCCTATTCTAACTATTCAGGCCCTTATACTAGATCCCGGTCTCTGGCTCTTGAGCCCTAAACGCAAACCCGGAACCACTCAATGCCTGGAGCCCTACAGTACGTGGTCAATCCTGCAACTTCAGATCCTAAACCATTAAAGAACCCTTAACCTCCAAGCCCAAGGCCTGAGCAACTTTAGAATATCGTTGTGGAGAGTTTAGTGCTAGAGTGCTTAGGGTTCAGGCTGTAGGATTTGAGTGTCAGTTCCGGCATGTACAGTACATGTCATGGCTTAGAATGTTCGTGTATATACATATACATAATACAAGTATGACTCTCTATCTCTATATATATATATATACATACACACCATAGGTATGTATGTAGGTAGGTACTAGTAGGTATGTACGTACGTATGTATGTATAGGCATATATACCTATACATACACATGTATATAGACATATATGCGGGGAGAGAGAGAGAGAGAGAGAGAGAGAGAGAGAGAGAGAGAGAGAGAGAGAGAGAGAGAGAGAGAGAGAGAGAGAGAGAGAGAGAGAGAGAGAGAGAGAGAGAGAGAGAGAGAGAGAGAGAGAGGGGGGGAGAGAGGGGGAGAGAGGGAGAGAGAGGGAGGGAGAGACAGGGAGAGAGAGGGAGAGAGAGGGAGAGAGAGGGAGAGAGAGACAGAGAGAGAGACAGAGAGAGAGACAGAGAGAGAGACAGAGAGAGAGAGCGAGCAAGCTAGCATAGTAGTTCTGAGTCAGCCAATACCGCGAGAAATGAGTAAATACTGTGGCATCCCCGAAACCTTCGTTTAATTGATTTTGCTGACTTCCCATGTTGGTGCTTTGGAACCAACTGGCTGCAGTTGCTTCACTTGAAAGGGGCGGAAGGTCAAGCAAGCAAAGCTTCTCCACTGCCTCGAGGCCTTGAACCCATACGCGAATCCAAAAACCAAAGGCCGCAAAACCTTATCCGAAGCAAGAACACCTAAAGCCCCAAACCTTAACTAGATACTTCTAAGCCGTAAAACCTTGAACCTTTCACCCTAGACTCACATCCCAAGAATCCCTAAGGCCCCCCCTAAAACCCTGAAGCTCTAGCCTTAGTGCTTAAGCTCGAGCGCGACTCTGTCCTGTAGGAGACGACCTACGAGGAGATCTGCGCTGAGATGAAGCACCTCGGTTTCGAGTTTAGGGGTCCTTTCAAGTTTCGTGGTTTTAAGGGCTTAGGGTTGTGGGTTTAGGGTTTGGGAGACTGCAGCAGCATGAGGGTACAGGGTTAAGGGTTTAGGGTTCACGGCATATAGGGGTTGAGCCCGACTTCCACTGTAGCTCTGCATCCGAGGCAACCCTAAGCTTGTTACCCTCACCCTCGCGGTGCGGTTCAGAAGTGTTTTCTAGTCTTTGGAGAGAATCTCGGGCTTAATGTAGGGGGCCAAAATAAATACCTATACTATTTTGGTGGTTCCTTGTTATAATTATAGTATAATGGGCTCAAAAACCTTATTCCAATTATTAGGGCCCCTGTAGTGTGAGTCTTGAGAGGGGGGCTTGGGTTTAGGGTCTCTGTCTGGAGTGTTGGCTGTATTATAAGGGTTTCAGCTTTTGAGTTCTGTCCACTCTGGGTTTGGGCTGTTGTTGTCGATTCTCGGGGCAAGTTTGGGTCCTTTAGTTTTGAGGTTATTCCTTCTGTAAGACCACGATGGGAACATGCCATCATCCATTTGCAGACTTTGGACTGGAACACCTTTTTCCGGAAGCGGTGCAGGTTGGAGGTGTGGTGCTCCTATGCATGACCAAGTTGCGACCTTGAACATGCAAAAAAGAACCTAAAGCCTCAATCCCCCCAAAAGCCCTGCGCCCGAAGCCTGAATGCCCCAAACGCCTTAGCCTAAACACCCCTAAACCCTAAACCCTCAGGACCTAAAACCCTATCGTCTGCAGCCTGTCTAGCAGATTCCGAGGAAGCGCTCTGAGGGAGACATGAAGGGCTACCCGGGCTACACCGACGAGGATTTACCTTGGGGTTATCACCAGCCTAAAGGGGTTTTGTCTTTTTTGGCGTTTTTCAAAAGGTAGAGCTCAAGTGAGAACCCCCGCGCCGACACGTACACAGACACACCCAAACCGCATCTTCAGATTCCGGGGACATGAGTATGCACATGTGTAGATGTAAATACAACATACATACATACATACATACATACGTACGTACATACATACATACATGTACACAATATACACATTATGCATATAGGTGACAGTGTGTTAGCGTTTCCGAGTAGCCTAGATGCCGAGACCCACTGACCTTGGCTCTGCAGGGGGCTGATGGGATTTAGTGTTTTTCGGGACACCTCAACAGGGTCCTCAATTCAATGGTACTAAGTTACTACCTAGACCCCCCAACTACCTTCCAGTATATCCCAAATACCAACTATTAAGGACCACAGCAGCTCCGGGGCGTTTGTCTCAGGGTTTCGGTTTCATGGTTTAGGGCTCTGGGTCTTCAACATCGAGTTGCTTCGTTTCGCCGGGCTCATTGATATGCGAAAAGTTCGGGTGTTGGAGTTTGGTAAGTGGATGTATCAGGCTGTAAGCCCCTAGCTCATAGCCCGACACAGACACTACATCTTTGAAAACCTAGCAACCGAAGACCCTGACCAAAAAGGCAACACCCTAACTCTTGAAACTCTCCAAAATAGCTCTAATAGCCTAAACCCTATACCCGTTTAAAGGCTAATAGCCTAAACCCTAAACCCTATACTCCTTTAAAGGCTAATAGCCTAAACCCTAAACCCTGTGCCCCTTTAATAGCCTAAACCCTAAACCCTATGCCCCTTTAAAGGCTAATGGCCTAAACCCTAAACCCCTTTAAAGGCCAATAGCCTAAACCCTAAACCCTATGCCCCTTTAAAGGCTAATTGCCGAAACCCTAAACCCCATACGCTTCCAAAGGAGCCGCCCTGGAAGCGGCAGCGCAACTTGTCGCAGATTAGGTTCTAAAGGAGCCGCCCTGGAAGCGGCAGCGCAACTTGTTGCAGATTAGGATCTCTCTTGCCGTTAGGGTTTAGGGATTAGGACTAGGATCTTCATTTGGGGTTTGGGCTTGGGTATAGGGTTGAGGGTTCAGGGGGCCTTCATGCGGCTTCTGCTCACTTTGAGACCATCCTTTGAACTGTAAGTACGCCCAACTGCCTAAGACATGCAACTGCGGATGTCGCAACAACCACGGCGCAAACACAAGGTGCAGTGGCTGCAACTGCCGCCGTCGACACTGCCGTGGCATCCGAGGCCCCACCTTCTAACAAAGCTGCTGTGGCTGGTCCTATTCAGAGTCAAAAAAACTGTTTAATTTGTGGTTCAGAACCCCCCCAAAAACACAAAACCCTAAACTCTAAACCACTATAAACCCAAAGCCCTTTCCCCTAAACCCGTAAACTCTAAACCATAAGGCCCTCAAACCGGCTAAGGTCCGCGGAGTGCACTATGACCCCCGGCCCGGGAGGTGCAAGTACCAGGTCCGTTTGGAGAACCCACGCACCAGAAAACGCGTACACGGCGGCATGTTCACCATGAAGGCGGAGGCCGAGAGCAGGGCGCGGCAGTTGGCGAAGCAACTCGAGGAAGAGCCCGCCCAGCCACAGCTGCAACACTTGGAGCCACTAGGACCAGAAAAGGGAATTCGATGGGTTGCCAGTGAGCAGGCCTGGCACGCCAGATGCCAAGGCAAGCACATGAGGTTCCGCCCCAAGGACTTGGCGCGGAAAAATGTGCAGAAGGCCTGGAAGCAGGCCTTGGCGTGGCGGAAAGAACAAAGAGGACGAGAGTGAAGGAACTCCACCTGTTCGTAGTGGCAGTCTTAGAGTTCAAAATGTTCTGAACCGCGCACGCGGGAGACAAAAAGGTCCTTCGGGCCATAGACGCTATGAGCTCAATTTTCTGAAAACAAGGCGTCTCTTTACACGTGCAGCTTTGCCTGAACGTGCAGCTGCCACGACCCTGTACGTTCCCAGACCCAGGGGATCGCTAGTTCCTAATCTCAGGGGCCAAAAAAGCACATAAGCATAAGCATTTTATAGGGATATCCCTACCTTAATGGGCTTCATTATAAGGGGGTTTATACTGGATATCCCTATCCTAACTTTTGCTTGTGTGCTTTTTCGGGGTCCTATACTCCCATAATTTCTTTCGGAGACGGCTTCCAGCCGAAACCCATCCAAAGTAGGACTAAACCCCGTGACACATTCAAACGGTTAAGGTTAGGAGTTACTTGATACGGGCCTATGCCCTGAACCCTAAGACCCATAGTTTAGGGTTTAGGGTTTAGGGTTAGCTTCAAAACACCATGATACGCGGGTGTGCACTGTAACTAAGGTCACTAAGGCCTATCGTCTCGTAGGTGCTTGACATCAGAAGTCAGGCTTGAGGCTTGGGCATAGCTCAGGCTCCGGTGGCCCCGACGACTACGCCGGCCGTGCCCGCAGGGCCCGTTCCCGGAGCTCGGCCCTCGGCAACTGCAGGGGTTTAGGGTTTGGGGGTTTAGGGTTTGGGGTAAAGTCAGGGGTTAGACTACGTCAGATATAGTTTGGGGTGTTTTGGTGTATAGGGCTCGAGTGCTTTGTTTTCAGGAATTGAGCTCATAGCGTCTATGGCCCGAAGGACCTTTTTGTCTCCCGCGTGCGCGGTTCAGAACATTTTGAACTCTGAGAGGGAGATCAAGAGGATTAGTAGGACCCTACGTTCCCAGACCCAGGGGATCGCTAGTTCCTAATCTCAGGGGCCAAAAAAGCACAGAAGCATAAGCATTTTATAGGGATATCCCTACCTTAATGGGCTTCATTATAAGGGGGTTTATACTGGATATCCCTATCCTAACTTTTGCTTGTGTGCTTTTTTGGGGTCCTATACTCCCATAATTTCTTTCGGAGACGGCTTCCAGCCGAAACCCATCCAAAGTAGGACTAAACCCCGTGACACATTCAAACGGTTAAGGTTAGGAGTTACTTGATACGGGCCTATGCCCTGAACCCTAACACCCATAGTTTAGGGTGTAGGGTTTAGGGTTAGCTTCAAAACAATAAACCCTAAACTCTGCTTGGCAGCATTGGCATGTCGTGTTGCATTCCCCTTAAGCACCAAACCCGAAAACCCAAACCCTTGATCCCAAACCTTAAACGGGTAACGGGGACATCAAACTTGCTGGGTTTAGGTTCGGGTTTGAGCCGAAGCTGCTTGGTAACATACAGGGCTCCTGGAAAGCTTCCCATATGGGCCCTAAACCCTAAACCCCTAAACCTTAAACCCCTAAGCCCTAAACCTCTGCGATGTTGCAGGGCTTGTACAGCCTCACGAGACCCTGTATAAGCCTGAGAATATGGCAACGTCGCCTTTTCAATAATTAGCGATATGATTTCTCAGTAGGGTTCCTCACTCAGCGAGATATCCCAAAACCAGTCCAAAACCTCGTTCTAATTCTCAAGGCCGCTGCTCAAGGTCCCTTTATCACAAGTATAGCTATATCATGGAGTCCTTATAGAACATTCACGGTAACACTCAAAGACCCCTGTAAAGCCCTCGGACACCATTCAAGACAGTAGGCCTATATGCATGGGAGACTGATCAAGAAAGCCACGCTTCTACCCCCCCGTACCTTCCCTTCCCAAAAGCGACAAAAGAGTGCACTCAGAGCAGGAAGCAACTTAAATCTCCGAATCCAAAAAGCTTTAATTAAACCCCCTCCCCCTTGCCGCCCTAGAAACAAAAAGAATCAGTGATTTCTGAATCAGGCTCCGATGTTAAAGCGCATATCCGGAACTGTCAAACTCCCATGTACATGTCTAAAGTAGGTTACAAGATCTATCAAGTCCTGAACCCCTCTTTCAACTCTGACAAAACCTTTGTGCACTTCTTATGTGTTCCTAACCTCTGAACCCTAAACCCCGAAACTGTTGGACCCCTATAAACCCTAAACCCTTAAACCCTAGACCCTAATCATGAGCCCTAATCGCGTGAACCGGAGCCCCAAAATCCCAAACCATACATGGAGGGTCATGGGACTTAGTAAGTAAGGTTAGAAGTACCTTAAGTGGGTTGGTAAGTAGCTATAGGTACAGTTACCTTTAATTATAACCCTATAGTTACTAAGTCCCATGATCCTCTAAGTAACCCTAGAACCCCTCTTATAGAACCCTTATAGATCCCTTTTAAGTAGCCCTTTAAGGAACCCTAGCCCCAAAATCCCGAACCATAAACGCATCTTCCGACCCCGAAGACGCACGCCAGGCTGCCACTGCTAGCGCAGGGGTCCCGAACGGCATAAGGGAGCCCACGGGGGTTTGGGGTTTAGGGGTTTAGGGTTTGGTGTTTTAAGAGTTTAGGGTTTAGGGGCTTAGGCTTCAAAAGGTTTCCGGTTTAGGGTGTATCTTGGGGGCCTTGTTGAATCAGATTGGGTTTCTCTTATGGTTCCATGAATTTAACAGCCTTTCTATACACGTCTCACTGCAAGGTTGCTACTATGATCAAAGGGCATAAAGCAGGGGCCTTACTGCTTGGGACAGGGTTTTGGGGCATAGTCAATGTGAAAGTATTACAGGGACCAGACCTGGACATTGCTGGTGCTATATCCCGACTACTCTCGTTTTCCGAACTCTGTATCAGGCACGTTTGTAAGAGTTCTATAATGGGGGTATCCGAAGCCACTGTGTTCGAATATGGCTTTTTTCGCATACCCGAAGCTCTAAATAAGGGCTGCGTGGCTTCTGTGTCTTTGGTTTCGGGTACTGGAGTTTAGATTTTAGAGCTACAGGCCGTCCTGCCCGGATGATACCTAGGGTTATCTGTGGCTGCATGGGCTTCTTTGTAGACGGTGTGGCTTTATTTAGTGACAATGTAGTGTGTTTGCAACTACTAGGTATGAACAGTCCCGTTTTGGGTTACACGGAAAAGCTAAACCCTAATGTCCTTACCTTTTGCAGCACCTAGCACAGAGAAATCATAAGAAGGAACCCCAGAGCAGGGTAGTGTATAGAGTTGGGGTTTTCGGAGAAGTTTGACGGTTGGCTGCGGTATAGGATGTACCCAGACCTTCCAAAATCCCTTAATTAAGGAATATACCTTAAAATATAGTAGGATCCTACTGTAATTTAAGGGATATTCCTTGATTAAGGGATTTTGGAAGGTCTGGGTATCTAGGGTTTGGGAGTTGGGGGTCTAGGGTCTTAAACTCTCCAAAATCCGTCCAGGGTTTAGGATTTGGGGTCCAGTTCTGGGTCTACTACAGAGTGACAAGAAGGCATACTTTTTGTAGGGTGTAGGGTTCAGGGATATTCAGGGTTTAGGGTTTAGGGGTTTTAGGGTCATATAAGGGTTCAGAGTTCAGGGTTTAGGTTACTCTCCAGACCCTATACCTATCAGCCCTAACCCTCCGCACCTAAACCTCGAGGTCATTACCCCAGCGCCCGACGTAACGGAGTCGTCGCAACTGGAGGCAGGATGAACGAACTAGGTCCTTGAGGTGCCCGATACTTTAAGAATCAGATGGCTTAGGAAATAGGGTTATGATATGAGCAAGGTAAGCCAGTGTACTGAGGTCATAGCTGCTTCTTGCCTACTTGTGGTATTCAGAACCGAACTTGCTAGGCCCGCTGATGCCTTAAAGAGGGTTCAGAGGTTACGTATTGCTGCTTGGGAACTCTACTCGCATGATGCAATCTTGACATGGGAGTTTCCAAGATTTAGTACCTTATATTGGAGTCCTGATAATGAGGGTCCGCGTATTTAGGGTACTTTATTTATTAGGGCCCCGTATTTTCGGAAACACCCATATGGTATACCTGTACCTTGTGTTCACCTCAAGGCCTCAGCCTAATTTCCTTTGCCGTTCTACTGATGTACATAACCCTGAATCTGAAAGTGCTCTCCCGTTCCATGAGCTTGCAACCCTAACCCTCCACTAAAGCCAACCCAATAAGTATTTTTTAGGAGTTTCAAGGTTTGGGGTGTCGCATTTGTAGGGTTTCAGGGGTTCCACGTTTGACATGCTACGCCCTCTATTGGACTACCTATACCCTGCCACGCAGCCCCGAAACCCTGAACTCCGGGTTGTCAACCGTTTGGAGGAGAAGAGCTATAGGGTTTAGGGTTTATCATAGGGGCCTGTAGGGGGGCAAGGGGGAGGGGGGTAGCGGACTATACTTCCTTAGATAGGCTTCATTAGGTCCTTATTATGGACATTAAAGCCCCCTTACCCCCCTAAGGGTCCCTTTGAGTGCAGGGTGAAAAGGGATTCGGACTTGACACGACGCACTTCCGACTTCTCTTTCAGGGCTCGCGGTCCTTGGTTTTGAGTTTGAGGGCTGTGGGGTTCAGGATTTTTGGGTTTCTGCTGTTGAGTTTAGGCATTTGTTCGTAGAGACCAAAAAAGTTCCTGGGACACAGAAAGTTTCAAGGTTTGAGGTAAACCTCCACTGGCACCTTTGACACTTCTACCTTTTGTATCAGGGTTCCTTAAGATGATTTGTCTATATTATGAGGCCTTGAAAAGGAAGTGCATTGGCGGTTCAAGTAAATCCAAAACCTGAGGAAAACCCTAAACCCTGAAGCCCTAAACCCTAACGCCTAAAGCCTTATAGCCCTAAACCCTGAAAAGGAAATAGACCCGTAAACCTGAGGAAAACTCATAACTCTAAACCCTGAACCCCTGAACCCCCAAACTCCACAAAGGAAGCAGACCTTAAACTCTAAACCCTAAAACCCAAAAAGGAGGTACACCCTCAAGCTGAGGTAAACCCTAAAACCCAGCATCGCCAGGTCGAGACGACCGGACAGGCGA